CCTCAGTAAGGAACACTGCTTAGAGGGACAGAATCTCTGGTTTGGCAACAAGACTGTAGACTTTGTTGGCCAGACCAGTGACAAATTCACAGTAAAAACGATGTTCAAAACACAGCTTATGCTCAGCTCACAGCTCTACAAGTGGGTGCACAGGGTTTCAGGGAGGGATACGGGGCAGTGGGGGATTAGTTTGGGGAGGGATACGGGGCAGTGGGGGATTAGTTTGGGGAGGGATACGGGGCAGTGGGGGATTAGTTTGACATCGGGCCATGGGGAGAGGTTGCTTTGGGAGTTTCTGCTCCTGGTGTTGGGGAACAGTGGGGTCTGTTTCATACTCACATCATAAATAGCGAAGCCAATGGTGTGCATGTCTTCCCCCATCTTCCTCTGTCGCCTGCGATTCTTCTGAATGAGAGCCACCAAGAAACTACAGCCATCATCATCGCCACCATCACCCACATCACTCTCCTCCAGGGTAATCTTAAACTGGGGGTTCATCCAGAACGTCGCTGTCAGGGGGGAGCAATTACACAGTGAGTTCTGGTAGGGGAGGCAAATCGCAGAGAGAGAGAGAGAGAGAGAGATCAGTGCGGGAGAAGTGGGGATACAGGATTTCAGGGGGGTAGAGGGTGAGGAGGTGAGAGGGAGGGTGAGATAGGGTGGAATGGGAGAGTTGGTGGGGAGAGTGTGGAGGCGCGAGTGTGTGTGAGAGAGAGGGAGAGGGAAATGGAGAGCGGGGAGAGGGAGAAAGTGGGGGAGAGCAAGATGGGGATAAAGTGGAAGAGAGAGAAAGTGGGAGAGAGGGATAACAAGTGAGAGGACAGGGGATTGGGGGGTGTGGGTGTGGGGGGAGGAAAGACAAGGAATGCCCTAACCCTATCTCATTCTCCTAAATGTCTCCTCAGATAGTCCCTCCAGACCCAGGGTCAGACATGTGAACCTTCTCTGGGCCCACTGCCTGAAATTTCCTGCCTTAGATAAGGCACCCCAAACTATCGACATTATTCCAGCTGTGGACTGACACGTGCCTTGTACAGTTTTAGTAAAACTTCCTGCCCTTTATATACCATTCCCTTTGAAATAATGACCAACATGCCATTTACCTTCTCTCGTATCCACTGAACCTGGATGGAGGACCCCCAAACCTCTCTGTTCCTGAGCTTTCTGCGGTCTTTCTCCGTTTAAATAATAGTCAGCTCCTCTATCCTTCCTGCCAAACTTCCGAACCTCACATTGCCCCCACATTATATTCAATCTGCCGAGTCTTTATCCATTGACTTCACCTGTCTATGTTCCTCTGCAGACACTCTGTCATTCTCACCACTTGCCTTTCCACCTAATTTTGTGTCATCCACAAACTTGGCTATAGTACATTCACTTTCCTCATATAAGTCATTCATTTTTATTGTAAGTAACGGTGGCCCCAGCACTGATCCCTGTGGCATTCC